TTTGGTCTTAGGTATGATTTATAACTGTCCATCCATTGTATTTTTTCAGTTTGATTTTTATCAGTGTATTCGAATTTTGTAGAGAAATGCACTATACTACAGAGGTATTGGGCATGCATTTCATACAATTTGCAGAGAAGAAGGTTTTTTGGGATTGTATAAAGGACTTGGAGCGACACTGTTGGTATGCTTTATTATGAACCTGCACATTCTTCGTTGCTTTATTTTGTTAACACTAATTTCCATTTGGTTTATTCTTGTGGCACAGGGTGTTGGGCCCAGTATAGCAATAAGCTTCTCAGTTTATGAGGCTTTGAGGTCTTTTTGGCAGTCTGAAAGGTGAATACTGCATAATTGGTTGATTTGGGGCTGAATTTTTTGAAGTGATGTTTATTGTCCCTCTATTCGTTTGAGTTGTAATATTGTAGTTTTCAATTCTTCTGATATCAGGCCCAATGATTCGACTGTCATGGTCAGTCTTGCCTGCGGCAGCCTTTCAGGCATTGCCTCATCAACAGGTAAGTGATCTGTGGAGGGTTTATTTTCACAAGGAAAAATACTTTACAAATTAACAAAAACTTATATACTAATGTAGTTTATGAACAATACTCCTTGTATGATGCCTTTAAATCTTGTATAGTTTTCAGACACAGATAGATGGCAAACTATGTTAGGACTTCCAATTGATTTGTTTAGGATCTAGCAATAAGAATTTCAGATTTATTGTTCTTCTATGTGATTATCTTTTGGTCTATTTGTTATTTCAGCAACATTCCTTCTGGATCTTGTGAGGCGAAGGATACAGTTGGAGGGGGCTGGTGGTCGAGTTCGCATCAATAATACAGGCTTAGTTGGGACTTTTAAGCACATAATCCGGATTGAAGGCCTACGGGGCTTGTATAGAGGGATTCTGCCAGAATATTACAAGGTTGTCCCCAGTGTAGGCATTGTCTTCATGACTTACGAGACACTGAAAATGCTTTTGTCGCGCATCCAAGCAAGTGATTCATGCTTTCTTTAGGTGTTTCTGGGATTTCCAATTCGGTTATGTGCACCAAACGAGTGATTCTAAGGTGGGTTTTGTATTTGTTATTGACTAGTTTGTCTTTTTGTATGGTTTTCATTTGAGAAGGATAATTTCACTAACCTGTGACTGATTTTGTGAAGTTTAGTAATTAGAGAGATTGGAAATTTCTGTATTTTAACTGTGAATTACTTCATGCTTGGATGAAACTTCTATTGGTCTGATTGATTTTGCTCTATGGATGACGAAGTGCCTCAATTTGCTATTTGCCATGTAAGATTGTCATATGTTCTCCTTTTGTTTAGCTTCTGGAGGAATTGAGAACTCGCAAAGTGCCTAAGGTTTCTTTTGTTTATTCGATAATTTGCATTTACGTGGTTTTAGTAGAATTGCTATTTGCAAATAACAAAATTTATATAGACTGCTGATCTCAGAAAATAGGAAGCTGCCTTGCCTAATGCTTGTTCTTTTTCTGGCTAATCACTTATCTAATATGTTCATTTGAATTTGATTTTATTAGGTTGGCTATCCAACATTGGGTGGATTTGCAGAGTTCGTATCTGAATTTGACATGCAAGTGTTCTTGAGACTGGTAGGGCTTTTAGCACTGCCATGTTTGAAGGCGTTGGCGTTTTTAAAATTTTTACTCCAAATATACCAACTAGCATCTCGGGCAGGCCAAGGTTTGTATCTGATCTGGGTCAATAATTTTCTGTTCTAGGTTTTGTCTTTTTGTATTTTTTATTTCTATGTTGAGCCTTCTTATTGCAAATGTAATCTTTGATGGTATTGCTGGCTGAAATTGTAAGGCACGATC